TGCCTCTTCAAGAAATTTTCCATCTTTATCCTTAAGATAGGTGTTTGTCAAAAAACTTTTCCACCCTCTATATCTTTTGCCGGCCAAACTAAGTATGTAGCTTTTACGTTCATTTGGTATCTCAAAAGTCCTCTGCAAAAAAACGTACGCATAGCGTGTTAGTATAAGTAATTTAAACAATTTATCGTCAAGATAATAACAACAATTAACCATATATGATATATACCTGAAGCTCTTCCCAAATCGCTTGTTTTTTCTCCTCCAATTCTAAATTTTTCGTTTTCGATTTCCAGGTAGCTACGGAGACCGGAATATGCATACGGACAAGTGTACCAATATAACTTGTCAACTTTGCAGAATTAGGACCAATTGGTTGTTTATCAGAATTCCATTCCAATCGGTATACTAATCCTTGGTCTCTATGTCGAATGATTCCCTTCATAATAGTGATGCCTCGTGCAACCTCTTTTGCTTCAGTATCAGGTGGAGCATTTGTATCCGAAGCAACTCTTTCTTGTGAGTTTTCTTGTGAGTTTTCAGGTGGGTTTTCAGGTGGAGCATCTCTATCTGGAGCCATTGAACCTGTATCAAACAAACTAAAGCACATTAGTACACTATTAACACTAACTTTATCACTAACGTCTCTTTCTTTTCTTGGTAGGATTGTGTACTACGCGTCTCTTAACAATGCGGACGGTTGGATTGCTGTAACTGAGTAATAATGTTTTGAAAATATAAAATGTTTGGTTGCTGTAACTGAGTAATAATCAGGGGTTATATACATTTGTTTTTTTTTCTCGGGAATAAATGTTTGGTTGCTGTAACTGAGTAATAATGTTGTAGTTTTGTAGTATTCAGAAGCGTTTCAGTTCCAAGAGTTCTATACCTGTGAAACCAATGGGGTCTAAAAGACTGAAAACACCCTTTTCAAGTTCACAACAACCCATTTCTAACCATGTTATTGTTAAGGTCTGATTCATGTTTCATTCATACTCTCATTTTTGTCTCTATTTCTTTTTGATTATTCACTATATGTTTGATAATATAGGAAAATGATGTTGATAGCTATTCCATTGAGGTTGAAATGTTAAGAAATGATCCGTCTATTGTAGACACCATGACTGTTCCCCAACTCCGCAACACATTAAAGTAAGTAGATATGCTTTTTTACCCTTAAAATGTTCTGCCTCTAGTTTCAACCAGAATGATTTTCAATTCTCAGGAGTATAGGGGTTCCCGCCAAAGGTCGTAAAGAGGATCTTTTGTCTGCCTTGAAGACTTTCATGGTGCCTTTTTTGTGTTCTGCAGAACAAGATTCTCAAATTAAAGACGAACAAGGGCTGTTTATTTCTTCTGAAAATACGTCTTCAGAAATGAAAGCCAAAAAGGTGTCAGGTGAAGAGCCCGTCGATGATGTTAATGATACTCCAGAGACAGTTGAACTTAACAAGGGTAAGAAAAGGTTTAAACAATCAGAACCTGAAAGAAAAATTGTCAAAGCGACAACCAAAAAGAAGCTGTTGGTTAAATCAGACGAGGTTTCAGGTTGTGTTCTAAACTTTCTATTCTGAAATATTTAGCATAATTCTTTGTCTCTCTCTATTGGTCTCATGGCTTGTCAATTTTTGTTCAAGTGTAATTCATGCAGTGATTAAATTAATCGTCTATGGCTGTTTTTGTCAGATGTTAAGCCTTCTAGGGCGAAGAGAAAAGTGTCTTCAGATGTTGTTAGCATTGTAGCACAATCAGATGAAATCAGTACAACAACCACTATTCAAACTGAAACATGGGCTGTTCTTGCTCACAAGAAACCTCAAAAGGATTGGATTGCATATAATCCTAGAACCATGAGACCCCTGCCTCTTTCTAGGGATACAAAATTTGTCAAGCTTTTGTCTTGGAATGTCAATGGATTGAGAGCATTGCTAAAATTAGAGGGATTCTCAGCACTTCAACTTGCTCAAAGGGAAGACTTCGATGTATTGTGCTTGCAAGAGACTAAACTTCAGGTAGAAAGAATAAATTGGGAGAAGCTACTTCTGACAGTCTTGCTGCCTGATAAAATCTATCAACCATGACGTTTGTGTTTATTTGAAAATTCTTTAGAGGCCATTTTCTCTCCAATTTATGAGTGCTCTGGTTTTGCTAACAGGAGAAGGATATCGAGGAAATAAAACAGCGACTGCTAGATGGCTATGAGAACAGCTTTTGGACATGTAGTGTTTCTAAGCTTGGTTATTCTGGAACAGCAATAATCTCAAGGGTGTGTTCACTTTGTTCATACTCCTTCAGACTTAATTGAAACTTTTGTTGTATGCATTTTTTTTTCTAAGTGAAGATTTTGTCAATGAGATTTATGATAAATATAAAATCTTTTTATAACTACTTGGGTTGAAGCTTTTGGCACCGCCTACTTTAGTCATATTCTTTCTTCAACAAAGCTTAACCCTAATTATATCTGTTCTTATATCATGTTTGTTGATACCCTGCTCTGCTGCTTAATCATTTAACTTCAAGAAACAAGTTTGATGCCTGAAGGTGACATAATTTCACTATTGTTTGAGTAATAATCAGGGGTTATGAAAGTTTGGTTGCTGTAACTGAGTAAACAAATGTTTTGTAAACTCTAATTATGGTCTATATGATTTTCCTTAATATTGCGTGTAGGATAAGATTTCACATCTCAATGATCCCCTTATGTTAATTCCACTGCATCTAATCATTTCTCCTTATAGATTTCCAAATTTACAACCTAGACAATCATATGAAACTCATCATTAGGTTTATCTCTATCCCTCTTATCCTCATCTTATCCCTCACCTAGTATTATACTCATTAACATTCCTTCCCTGCCCAATCCCAGATGGTTCCCTAACTCAATAGTCTTGTACCATGCCATCATTCTGTGAAAAATTTATGGAGCATCATTCTGTGAAAACCACATGTAATCTATATGTAATCTATCTGTCCTGTTAAGCACTTAAGCTGAAATATAAACTTAAACTAATGAGATAAAAATCTCAGTAAGACTTATATGCAAAATATACAAGCCTATTAAAACATTTTCTTAGCTATAACTTTTTTAGTAGTAATGTTATAATTTCCTTTGTGTGATTAATTCTTTTGTCTACAGTGTAGATAGGATTAGAAATTTATAATCCCACTTGAAGTATCTCCAAGCATAACTCACACCCTCTTAGTACAGTCCATAAAGTTTGAAAATATTGCTTCTCTTCTTTGCACAAATCTCACAGTTGATAGGTGCATCTTTTATTCAGTTTCGATAACGTAACACTACTATCCGACTCCTTTTATCTGTTCTACAATCTATTACAATACAAATACCAAATTCCAACATCGTTCTTCCCATACTTTTTTTACCGGATCCGTACTAAGTGTTGCCTTTGACATTTTTACTATCGATGAATGACAATATATGAATGTCTATTAACGATTAATCACACACAAATCATCTAAAAGACGGAAAAACACAAATGAACACCAACAACTTAAGTACTTGTGAATTTTAAGCTAGTATACACCTAAAATTAGGACCCGTAAATCCAACTTCATTTTCCTAACCCTCTAACATACCCTTAATTAGGAACAATCATGTAGAACATTTCACAAACAGTTAATATGCAATATCTAAAACTAAGAAAAATGAGTAAGAATTCTTACCTCAAACCAAAGAAATGGAAAAAGTGAAATGAACTTTTAGATCTTTCCTCTAACAAGTAACAGCCAACCTTCAAAATCCCTTGGGTTTCGTTCTTGCTAACTGTTGAAGGGTTTTGTAATAACAAGAAACTTTGAGAACGAAACCCTAATTAATGTAATAAAGTAAAGTAGTTAGAGTGGGTGATGATGAATCAATGTTGAGATGAAATTGAATGGGAAAGAAACAACACCTGAATGTAAATTACAGTTTGATGGGTTTTTTGGATGCAAATTACACCTGAATCAAAATTACAGTAGAATCAAAGGTTGTTATGAAAGTGAGGACGACGAAGGATGAAGAGAGCTTGAATAGGAGCAGACGAATGGAGAAGAAGATGAACAACTGGGTTTCGTTTTTTGTATCAGCTGGGTTTAGAAATCTGATTGTAAATTTAGGGGTTTAGAAATTATTTAACTAACCTATGCCAGCGCTTTTAAACAAGCGCTTTCGTATCCCCCCCTATGCCAGCGCTTTTTAAAAAGCGCCTTCATATCCCCCACCTATGCCAGCGCTTTTATAAAAGCGCTTTCGTATCCCCCACCTATGCCAGCGCTTGTTAAAAAGCGCCTTCATATCCCCCACCTATGCCAGCGCTTTTAAAAAAGCACTTTCGTATCCCCCACCTATGCCAGCGCTTTTAAAAAAGCGCCTTCGTAGGTTTCCCTTTTTTTTTAATTTTGTTTTTTGTGAAGGCTATGGCAGCGCTTTTTCAATAAGCGCTTTCGTATCCCCCACCTATGCCAGCGCTTTTAAAAAAGCGCCTTCGTAGGTTTCCCTTTTTTTTAATTTTGTTTTTTGTGAAGGCTATGGCAGCGCTTTTTCAATAAGCGCTTTAGTAGAGGCGCTGGCAAAAGCAGTTTTTGGCGTAGTGCTTGCAATTAACTTGTAGTTATGAATGACAATGAACTTAATCAAATCTAGCATAATATAAAACTTAATAACTAATTCGTTAATTTAGCACATGGGAAAAAGAAGTTGAACTTAGACTAATATATAAATTCATTAATTAAATAAACTAAAACATAAGAATTTATGTCCAAATTTATATTTAAATGGGAGTCATCTAGACTAACGTTCATTTGAATTGAGTTTTTCTTTTCATAAATTATTACAAGTGGGGGCACACAATAACATCTGTCTAACTAAAACGGAATGCGTGCCCCCTATATATATTCTCTCCTATGCATTAGCATTTCACAAACAAATCTAAGTAATCCAGATCAATATTCTATACACATTATTTTTCTTCTATTTTCTTTCTTAATATTCAAATCTTATCATGTCACTAGAAACCATTAACGGTGAAGAAAATCACCATCCACATGGACATGTTCATGAAGAAGATGCCATGGTTTTTGCTTTGAATTTGATTAATTTGGCCGTGCTTCCTCTAACCGTGCGATCTGCAGTTGAGCTTGGTATCTTTGACATCCTAGCCAAAGCTGGGAAAGATGCCAAACTCTCTGCAGATGACATAGCTGTTAAGATTGGATCGAAGAACAAAGAAGCACCTGCAATGTTGGATCGTCTTATGAAGTTATTGGCTAGTCACTCCATGCTATATTGCTCGCTATCCAAAGAGAGACAAGGACTTAGGTCTCCTCAGAGGCTCTATAGCCTTGCTCCTGCTTCTAAGTATTTGGTGACAGATCTTGATGGTGTGTCGTTGGGACAAGTATTAAACTTAACTTTGGACAAAGTTTACTTGGGAAGCTGGTTAGTTTTATTTTTTTTTTATTGGCATTAAATTAGTTTAATAAAATTCACTATGATAATTTATTTTAATTGACTGAATAAAGGAATGGAATGAAAGGAGCAATTTTGGAGGGAGGTATACCATTCAATAGGGTTTATGGCATGCAATCATTTGAATATCCAAATGTGGATCCAAGGTTTAATGATATTTTCAACAATTCTATGGTGAATTGTACAACTATAATCATGAAGAGGATTCTTGAGATCTATGATGGTTTTGAGCACATCAATATGCTTGTAGATGTTGGTGGTGGTCTTGGGATCAATCTCAAGCTAATTACTTCCAAATATCTTCATATTCAAGGTGTTAATTTTGATTTGCCACATGTTATAGAACACGCACCTACCTATGAAGGTAAATTCTAATTACCTTGAAATATACACCGCTTTTTTTTTATTATGCGTGACCAGTACAAAGTTGGAACTTAGGCCATCTGATTAGCTCAAAAATATCTCTTACCATCTCATTTGAATATTATGCATTGAAAACTACATGTTTTAATGTTGTAGGTGTGACACATGTGGGAGGAGATATGTTTGAGAGTGTACCTAATGGAGATGCAATTTTTTTGAAGGTGAATTCAACCTTTTACATCATTAATCTATCTAATTATTTTATTATATTTACTAACTTAGCTTAATTTTTTGTATCAATAGTGGATACTTCATGATTGGAGTGATGAACACTGCTTGAAGTTATTGAAGAATTGTCATAAAGCTATTCCTGATAATGGAAAAGTGATTGTTGTGGAGTTAATCTCACCTGTTCTTCCTGAGAGTACAACAATAGCCAAGATGGGTTTTCATGCTGACGTCTTAATGATGACTCAATTTTCAGGCGGGAAAGAGAGAACCAGAGATGAGTTTAATGAATTAGCATTAGGATCTGGATTCCGTGGCATCAAATTTGCTTGCTATTTCTCTAGCTTTTGGGTTATGGAATTCTTGAAGTAGTTACCATAAAGTTTGGAAACAAAATTACATGTTGTTTTATTATCTATTAATCGTTGTTGCATTATAAATGTTATATTTCGTACTATTTCATGCATACTTTGGGTGTAAAATTCAAACTTCAATAATTGATTGTTTTTCTTATAATTTGAAAGTAATTCATAAAGAAGGAAAAGCAAAGGATGAGTACTATTTCCTTACACTTTAAAATGTATTTTAAAGTTAGTAAAAAAAATATTTTAAAGAGTAAGTGTAAGATAATGGAATGTTCTTTTCTCATCCATATATATATATATATATATATATATATATATATATATATATATATATATATATATATATATATATATATATATATATATATATATATATATATATATATATATATATATATATATATATATATATATATATATATAAACTCATGTAGGTGTATATTAGCATTATACACCTTTAGTCTATTTTTGAGTAGGGTCGATCACTTTATTCGTTTCTTATTTTTTTTCTTGAGATTTATGTCATTCAATGGGGGGTTTAAAATCCTCACTATATATTTGTTATTATTATTTTTAATTATATTTTTAACAATTTAAGTGGGGTTATGTTAGCGGGAGTTTTCAATAGTTACAGTAATAACTACAATACATTAAATTTTGAAAATAGTAAAGGTTAAAAACCCCCTAAATTTATAGTGGGTGTATATTTGGTCAACTGTCTAATTTACTAATTCTAATTACAGTAAACTAATTATGGCTAATTATAATCATAATATGTTATTCTATCACACTGCTGCAGTCGAAGCGAGAGGTTCACAGACGCTTAGACTGGTCGAAAAATCACCAGAGAGAATGTGAGGATGTCCTTTGGTGAAGATGTCTGCAATCTGATGTCGAGAGGGAACATAAAGAATATGTGCCTGATCACGAGTTACTTTTTCCCAAACAAAATGAATGTACCTCTCAATATATATGATTCGCTGATGTTGCACATGATTACCAAAGAGATAAGTGACACTAGCATTATCACAATACACCAAAGTGGCCTGAGGAATAGGAAAATGGAGATCCATAAGAAGATTTTGAGTCCAACACAAGTCAAACACAACATTAGCAACACATCTATATTCGGTTTCTGCATTAGAACGAGAGAGAGTGAGTTTCCTTTTGGAAGACCAAGAGGTAAGGTTGTCACCTAGAAAGACACAATAATGTGATTTGGAGCGTCTGGTGTCTAGACATCTACCCCAATCAGCATCAATGTAGGAGATAAGTTGTGTAATGGGGGATGGTGATAAATGTAATTCATTACGCATTGTACCTTAAACACAACGCATAATGCGGGTGAAAGAAAATATGTGTTGTGTGTGAGGTGCATGCATGTCAAGACAAACTTGCTGAACTTGATATAATATGTCAGGTCGAGTGAAGGTGAGATATTGTAAAGCCCATGCAAGACTCCAATATTGAGGGGTCATCATAAGGCGTGTCAGAGGAGGTGCTAAGATCTTGTTTGATGACAAAAATGTGTGGCAGATGGTTTGTAGGATGCCATGCCATCACGTTCGATGATCTTAAAGGCATAAGTGCTTTAACTGATAAAGATGTCACTAGGATGACAAGATACAACAATAACCAAAAATAATCCAGGGACCTAAATCCTTCATTGCAAACTCAGATGCTAAGAGTGACATAATTGATTTGTGAAGAGCATGAGTTGAGGTGATAAGGATGATGTCGTCTACATAAGGAAAAATATAGGCCATGTTAGATCTTTACGGATATATGAAGATGGAGTGGTCTATTATGCCATGTATGAAATCAATGGTGGCGACATAATCAGAAAAGCGTTTGTACCATGCTTTGGGCGCTTGCTTGAGACCATAAAGTGACTTTTTTAGACGACACATATAATTTGGATGATGAGGCTCGTGGAAACCCAATGGTTGATGCATGTAGACAGTCTCATGGAGATCACCATATAAAAATGTATTATGTACATCTAGTTGATGAATGTTCCATGATTTTGATAGAGCAATGGAGAACACGGTGTAAATGGTAGCTAGTTTCACCACTGGGCTGAAAGATTTATCACAATCCACACCTATAACCTATGACCTGCCATCACCTACAAAACGAGTCTTATAACGCTCAAAGGAGCCATCATAATTTTTCTTATGTTTAAAAATCCACATAGATTGCATAAGATTAGCATCACAAGGATGGAGAACTAGATTATGCGTCTTATTTCTAATAAGAGCATTAAATTTATATTGCATTGCGGATTTCAAATTCGGGTCTAATAAGGATAGTTTGGGGTTTTTAGGTTTGGAATAGATGGTTTGGTCAGATTGACTAATTGATAGGGTAAATATCTTGTGGGGTTTAACAATGTCTTTCTTGCTACAAGTGGTGATGATTCGTGTAGGTGTAGATGGAAGAGGTTTGGTTGGTGGTGGTGAAGGAGAGAAGGTTGTAGTGGGGAAGTTGATCGAGGAGCTATGAGATGGTGATTGTTGGTTTCTTGGTGAGGGTGGTTGGTCAATTGTGGTTGCTATTGTTGGTTGGGTATGTGCAATTGATGGTGATATTGGATTATGCCACTGATGTACCAGGTAAGGGTGTAGGTCAGTATTTTGGAAGTTATAAGAGTGAGGAGAACGAGGGTGTATATTGGTGAAGGGAAATTAGGTTTCATCAAAGATACCATTCCTCGAATTTATTAATTTTATGTTTGTCAAATCATAACACTTGTAACCTCTAAGATTCAGTGGATAACCCAAGAAGACACGCGGAGTAGAGTGAGGTTGTAACTTATGAATGTTAAAGGACGAGAATAAAGGATAACATAGACAACCAAAAACTCGTAGATGATTGTAGGTGGGCTTTCAATGATATAAGAGTCGTGTTGGTGACTTATTTTGAAGTTTTTTACAGGAAAGAATGTTTCAAAGATAAGTTTCCATGTGAAGAGCATGATGCTGAAACGACGTGGGAACAAACGAATGAGTTAGCATAGTGCTTATCATATTATTAATTATTCTTATTTTGAGTTCCCCTTTATCATTTTATGAGGATGTGTATGGACAAGAGAAATGAAAAATAAGGCCATGATCAATACAATATTTTTGAAATAGCTCATTATTATATTCACTGCCATTGTCACATTGAAAAGATTTTACAGTTTGCAAAAATTGTGTCTTAATAAGTTTTTGTGAGTGACTTGAACGTTTCAAATACTTGAGATTTTTTGCTAATATGAAAGGTCAACAAGAAATTTGAAAAAGCATCCAAAAATAGTACATAATATTTATGACTAGCCGAACTTAAAATTAGAGACGTCCATAAATCACTATGAAAAATATAAAATAGTTCAAAGTTGTAGGTTGAGAATTAGAAAATGGAATTTAACTTGTTTTCCTAAAACACAAGAGTCATAAATAACAGAAGAATTAAAAGGTTCACAACATATGAATTTAACACTACAAAGGGAATTTAAAACAGAAATGATAAGGTGACCCAGTTGTACCCCAATTTTTGCCCTTAAGATTCCTCTATTATTTCATACCATCACAATGCAAAAAGATCACACACTAGAGTTTGGTTCCTCTCCTTATCTTTGGCTTTGCTCACGGGGAATCACCAAACACCTTGACTTGTATTTTTGTGATCATCTATGTTTGATTTTGATTAAATTCTAGCATAAATACAATGAATGTTTTCCCTAATTGATGATGTTATAGGTGAGAGCACAATACTTTCCATCAAGTTGATCTACAAGTTCATGAGTCTATTTCCATTCCTTCTTCAACAAAAGCTTCATTGAGATTCAAGCCTCATCATTGAAGATGTTTTGAAGTAATATCATGAAAAATTCTATTATGAGTCATCATGCCTCAAGTTGTCAATGATAGTCAAAAGATACAAGGTTTGATTGAAGAAGTTTGACCTAATTGGATAAACTCTTGATTTCTTGATCACAAGTACAAATTTTCCTCAATTGCCAATATTTGGAAGTGGTTATGGTTGCTATGGTTCCTCATTATCATCCTCAATAACTTCTATTTACATGACAAAAATATTTGTGCAATAAGGTTGGTCAAAGCTGAAAGGGTTCTCAAAGCATTTTGTTGCTCTAGGAGCTAGGGTTTTGAACTTAAAAGGGGAATATCTTGCTCATCTTTTGGTATTTTTTAGTGATTCCAAAGACATGCTTCTCTTCAAATGGTTATCAATAAATAATTTCAAAAGTTTCAAGGATATTTTGTGTGAATGGTACTTGATGATGAAGAAAGATTACAAGTCCTCTAGATGAACCATCAATTTCCCTTATGTGACTTCAAAGGACCATAAATTGGTCAATTTTTATTTCCTTGAGCCCATTAATTTTCCACATTGATTTTAATAATGTTAACTTATCCCTTATTTTAAGTGAAAAGTGTGAAAATGGATAGAAGATGCCCTATGGATGCAAAAGATTATAGGTCGTCTTATGAATTTTTGCCAACTTTAACAAGTCATAACTTTCTCATTTTTTGGAGATTTTGAATGATTCAAGTATCAAAAATCCATTCAAGAGATCTACTTCATTCCATCTTTTTTGGTCAAGAGAAATTTTCAAATGGAAGACCATGTTTAGATGCAACACATTATAGGTCATTTTTGAAGAAAAACTTAGAAATTTTCTAAGTATAGAAAGTCAACCTCTTTTTCTCAACTTTGACTCATTGCATCTTTCAGCTCAGGCATCCATTTGATTCCATCCTTTTCACATTATAAAGCTTGTGATCTCATCTTTATAAAGCTTCAAGAATCATGTCTTAAGACTCCTTGAGCTGAGAATGCCATTGGTTCAAAAGTGGTACCTTGAAACTGAAGTTTTAACTCAAGTCAGAATTTGAAATCCTTGATTTGGCTTCTAATCACAAGTTTTTTACGCGCTTTTGCTTCTAATCATGTTTAATAAACTTCCAAAAGTGATTAGCACACTCAAATGCAAGGTTTGGA